TAAGGACCTTAACATTCTTACTAAGGCATCCAAAAGCAACGAGCAGCTAGTATATTTACTCAAAACCATAAAAATTCCTCTTTTATATGTACTACTACTACAAGACTTTGCCCTAGTTTATGTAGCAAATGGCTTGATTCACCCCAAGCATTGCCCTAATTTTTAATTTGAATCACATTTCAATAACAATGCCCTAATTGAGGGCATTTCGTACTTCATATTCTGTGTGTTTTGACATATATATATATATATATATGTATGTATGTATGTGTGTGTGTGTGTAAACAGAGACAGATAGAAACAGAGGAAAATCGAGAGGAAGATACAGAGAGAGGGAGAGACAGATGCGAAATCGAGGACATACTTGAGAGGGAGTTCGGGGGATAAACCCGTTCGGGGGAGTTCGGGCGATGGAGACTATTCCTGTAGAGAAGAGGGCAGAGGCGTGAGTGTACATATGATTTGTGTACATAATCGAGTATATATGGAACCAAGGTTGTGAATATATGATTTGTGTGTGTGTGTGTATATATATATGCATGTATATGTGTGTGTGTGTGTCTGTAAACACAGAGAGAGAGAGAGAGAGAGAGGCCTTGTGAGATGTTTAAGAAATGGAGAGGGAGATACAGAGAGAGAGAGAGGGAGATACCTGGGAGGGAGTTCGGGGGATGATACAACAACTCTTGCGATGGAGACAGAGCAGTGATAGAGGCGGGAGTGCGAGAGGGAGGGAAATGGAATACTTTTGCAATGAAAATAAAAGAAAAAAATATTTATTACCGACCAAAAATTATTTTCGTCGCTAATATATGTAATGAAAAATTAATATTCCCTCCACAATTTCGTGGCACGTTTGGCTACCAAAAACATAGTCGGTGAAACTGCATTATTTGGCGACCAAAATCCAATTAGTTGCCGAAACCAATTATTTCCACCACTAACAGTACTGTTAGTAGCCAAAAATCAAAGAAATACGAAAATAAAAAATAATAATGTATAAATATTATACAATTAGCGACCGTTGTGATATTTGGTCGGCCAAAAGTTAATATTTAACGACTAACATGTAATTAGTCGCCATTAGTGGAGACTATTCCGACTACATATGACATTAGTAGCGAAGTAGGTCACATTTACCGACCAAAACAGTTTAGTAGCTAATACGTCTTAGTATTGGCGACCAAATAATGTTTGGTAGCTAATGTGTGTACCATTGGCGACCAAAACATTTTTAGTAGCTAATGTATACACCTTTGGCGACTAAATTGACTTTAGTCAGCAAAATTAGTCGCTAAAGCTGTAATTTCTTGTAGTGGAAGCAAGCCCAAGCATTTGAACTAGTTAGATTGTTATGGAAAATGGTGATAAAGCAAAGATGATTCAGAGATTTCGGACTTGATCCGAAGCCCTTCACGACTTCTCTTTGTTGTGGCAGAGCATGGAAACAAACAAGTTCTTGATTGAGCTTATTAAAGCTTATCCTGATTTGATATGGAAAGTAAATAGCTAGAACCAAAGCATATTTCACGTTGCCGTTTTACACCGTCATGCAGGAATATTCAATATTTTATATGAGATAGGCTCGATAAAGGATTTAATTACTGCATATAGAGATGAAGATCGTAATAATATGTTGCATTTGGCTGCGAAGGTAGCACCCCCAAATCAACTTAATATCGTGTCAGGGGTAGCTCTTCAAATACAAAGAGAGCTACTGTGGTTTAAGGTGAACGTTTCTACTCGGTTAGTAATTTCAAAATTTTGATTTTTCCTAGTGCTTTACATAACTAATTTTACTGTTGGCAATATTTCTCTAAAAACATGATTGAACTCTTAGGCCATGTTTGTTATCCCCCATCAGTGGTGGGATTTTACTTGAAACTTTGAAAGCATGTTTATTATCCCACATCAGTGGTGAGATTATTTATCCAGCTATATTAGTAATCTCATTGCACAATAGGATTAACAAAGCTAGAGAGAGTATGGGATTAGAAAAATAGTGAGGGGAATAGAAAAATAAGTGTACACTTTTTTCTTTTCTTTTTTTACCCAAGTGCAGCCTATTATTTGTAAAAAAAAAAAAATTATATTTGTTTTAGAATTTTTTTAATATAAAAATATATATATTTTTATTTTATATAAAAATAATTTAATAATCTCATCACTAACCATCTCTCCCACTATCATCAAAACAAACGGATTTTTATTTAATCCCCTTACTAATAATTCCTACATTAACAATCTTTTCACTAACTATCCCAATACTAACAATCTTATCCAACCTAATCTGCCAAACAAACGTGCCTTTTAAGTCCAACATGACATCCACATTGGCACTTCAATTTGGTGGGTTTGCAATGGACTAACCATATCATTGGTGAATAAAATCATAGTTCATCAAAGAACGAATCATGATGAAAAGCAAAAAGGCCACCTATAGCTTCTTGTTTCTAGCATAGGTTTTATTTGTTATTTCAAATGAGAAGTCAATCAGATTATACTTTGATGATACAACGTGTTTCAGATGGAACGGGTCAGATTGATCTACGTTTTCCAAACTGGTGTCCGAATGTCGTGCCCACAGAGAGACCTACACAAGAGTTCAACGAGGAATGTGGAGTCTCCCAGGGAACCCTCCGATGAGCAAGTTAGAGAGAAGAGAGAGGTGGAATGCTGAGATAGAGTGGTGATAGAGAACTTAACCTTCTCTTTGTCTTAGAAACCTGCATATATCATTTGCTCATCATTTCCTTGTCCATTCGGACCTGTCACGTTGGCCGAAAGTCTATGTTTTAGTTTGCCTTGTTCATGGTGAAGCCGTTCTGCCCCGACGTAAAGGGGTCATCGCAATAAATGCTGAAGTGAAACTTATTAATGGCTAATGTGTGGTGTAATAACTTTGTAGGATCTTTGTCTGCTTATGTGGCTGGTTCTTCTCTAGACAGGTGTTCTGATGCCATTGGTCCTAGGTGCAACGCTGGGCCCCAGCAATGTTGGGCTTTAGTGTTTGAATTATGTATTGGGCCCTAAGTGGTGGGTCAACAGTCCTTGTAGGCCTACCTATGTCAGTAGTCCCCCATTCCCAAGTGCAGTTTCAGCCCAACGAAGGGAATAAGAAAGAAAACAGGGGTTGTGAGGGGTCGACGTGGGGGAGTCCGACTAAAAGGAGAGCCGATTGCCAAGGATGACCGAGTGAGAAGGCCGACTGAGAGGAGGGCCAGCTGCGAAGGGTGACCGAATAGAAAGGCCGACTGAGAAGAGGGCCGACCGAGAAGGGTGATCGAATGGGAAGGCCGACTGAGAGGAGGGCCGGCCGCGAAGGGTGACCGAATGGAAAGGCCAACTGAGAGGAGGGCCAACTGAGAAGGGTGACCGAATAGGAAGGCCGACTGAGAGGAGGGCCGACCGCGAAGGGTGACCGAATGGGAAGGCCGACAGAGAGAAGGGCCGACCGCGAAGGGTGACCGAATGGGAAGGCAGACTGAGAGAAGGGCCAACCGCGAAGGGTGACCGGATAGGAAGGCCGACTGAGAGGAGGGCCGACCGCGAAGGGCGACTGAATATGAAGGGGAAATGGCGGCGCACGGGGCTCGAGGTGCGGCGTAGCACATGATGATGTGAAGTGAAAAAGACAGGGGAAAGGAAGAGAGTAGGGGATCGTGGTCGTACACATAGCGTAATCCTTTGCTCATCATTTCCTTGTCCGTTCCAACCTGTCACGTTGGTCGAAAGTCTATGTTTTAGCTTGCCTTGTTCATCGTAAAGCCATTCTGTTCCGACGTGAAGGGGTTATCGAATTAAATACTGAAGTGAAACTCATTAATGGCTGATGTGTGGTGTAATAACTTTGCAGGATCTTTGTCTGCTTATGTGGCTGGTTCTTCTCTTGACAGGTGTTTTGATACCATTGGTCCTAGGTGCAACGCTGGGCCCCAACAATGTTGAGTTTTAGTGTTTGAATTATGTATTGGGCCCTAAGTAGTGGGTCAACAGTCCTTGTAGGCCCACCTATTTTTCTCTTGAGAGGTGTTCTGATGCCATTGGTCCTAGGTGCAATGCCGGGCCCTAGCAATGTTGGATTTTAGTGTTTGAATTATGTATTGGGCCCTAAGTAGTGGGTCAACAGTCCTTGTAGACTCACCTATGGTCCCTGTAGACTCACCTATGTCATACTTCATTATTGCACCCTTCTCTAGCAAACTTTATTGCTGTAATGTTTTAAAGATTCTATTTTCGTAATAATTGATTTTTATAGATTTAATGAATGCTCATTTCAATTGTTCGAAAATTTGTTTATTGCTCTTACCTTCTCTTTTCTTCTCAGAAAATACTAGTGGTGTTTGGGAAGTTTGGGACTTAGGTTTTTTTTTGATTTTTTCCACAAAAAGACAATTTTTTTGCAAAACCAAAAAAAAACATATCCAAACAAAATATCACATCTAACTCCATAATCATTATACTTTTTCTCTCATTAACATCACATCCAACCACAAAAAAATCCAACTATCTCCCCAAATACAAAAAAAATTTCTCCAATAATATTTTACAACTAAAAAAATCTACATAAAAACCACTTCCCAAACCCCCCACACTATACAACTCAAAACAAAGGAAGTTTGCAAATTTTTCCTTAGAGACGTGGCATACAGTAATAGAGCCTTTGCTGGTTTTTGTTCGTTGGAAGGTGTAGATGACCTAGTGCTATTCTACTCGTCAGTTTCTTACCTTCTCTCTTTCCCATTTTTGTTGTGTTTAATTATCTCCAACAAAATTTTACTTTCTTTTTGCGGATAAAAAAAAGATTAAAAAATAGAATTTATGAATTTAAAACAGGACCCACTAAAAGATTATGCAACATCTATCATTTTGGTCGTTGCAGGAGGTGGAAAAGATTATGCAACCTTCATATGTAGAAAAGAAAAACTCAAAAAGGCAATACACCTCGAGCTGTATTTACTGAGGAGCACAAAAACTTAGTTGAGAAATGGGAGGCATGGATGAAGAACACCGCCTCCCAGTCTATGGTTGTTGCAACACTTATAGCCACCGTAATGTTTGCTGCAGCTTTTACTGTACCAGGCGGCAATGACAACAATACAGGAATCCCAATGTTTCGAAAGCATAGTTCCTTCATGGTTTTTGCAATATCAGATGCCATAGCATTAGTCACGTCTTCCACTTCAATACTCATGTTCTTATCTATACTCACCTCACGCTATGCTGAAAATGATTTCGTGGAATCATTGCCCTTTAAGCTCATGATTGGACTCACGACACTCTTCATCTCCATAACTACCATGATGGTAGTTTTTGGTGTGACATTTTTCCTTGTTTTTGACCGTTATATGGTATGGGTATCAATCACCGTCGCCTTGTTTGCCTGCGTGCCTATCATTTTGTTTGCTACCCTCCAATATCCTCTTTTGGCAGATGTGATCCATTCAACCTACGGTTCTAGGTTATTGTTTCAGCCAAGGAAACATATGCTTTACTAGCATAATCCAAGTCATATATAAGTAGTGTGTCTCCTTGCAGTTGTGGGATCATGAATTGTGTATTTTAATTTTGAATAGTACTTCTATTGTGTTTGTTTTTGTTTTTGTTTTCTCAAGAGTGCTGTCACCTCTTGGGGCACTTTAGTAGATTGTTTCAGTAATTGTGTTTGTTTCCCTTTTTAAGTTGTGAGAGCAAAGTATTTCTCAGATTTTTGTTTGTTTTCTAGTTGTGTATGTTTCTATTTGGAATCTTGTTACAATTTGTTTGTACTGCCATGTTTGTGTTATAAAATCTTAATTTACCCAAAAAAATTATGAAAGATTCTATGTTGTACAAGTTATAATGTTAAATCATCCATCTGAAATGTATTCTTAACTCTTATCTATTTTGTAAAGACCCTTGATCATACCGAGTTGTTTAATTAGCCTTAGTTGAGTTTTCAGAATTTTTGTTTTTGAGTAAATTATATTTTATCGCACTTAAATTTTACAGTTTTTTCTCTTTGGTTTCCCATTTTGGCACCTGGCGATAATGGGGTGAGATTGGTGAGTAATGAAGATACACCTCAACAGTTAGTGACATAACATATTAAAATTCAGAAATACTTAAAAATTAAAGTAACATAAATTATATACTTAATTTATTTTTAGTGAATATATTCAAATTTAAGTATTGAATTAAATTATTATACACCATTTTAAACATGTGTACAGTTAGTATTTACTCATTATTACAGTGAACAAAATACTAAATAGAATAAGGCCTCACTGTCTGATCATTGAGATTAATTAATCTCAAGTTGGTGCTAAGAGTCAAAAATTTTAAGGCTTTAAAAATGGAGTGCCAACGAATATGCAAGGTCTGTTCCAAAAACAAAAAGGAAAATGCAAGGTTTAAACGGCAAATGGTTCTAAAATACAAAAACTAAAATAAAATAAAAAATTGGGTGAACATTGTCTGAATTATAAATTTTTTTTGCTACATCATTATTAAGCGTACCACTTGAACTATTATATTATAGAGAAAAGTTAAGGATCATGAAAAATTTTTCATGAAAATGATCATGAAAGAGTTATGATCATTGGATTACCTTGATTAGTGTGTAGTGCTTTATTCTAAGTGTAATCCAAGGGTCACAAAACTTTCATGAATAATTAGCCAGTCTTAGGCTCAATGAAAAATATATTTTAAACTTATGTCACGTAATTTTCCATCATTTAAAAGATAAAGTTATATGTATTAAATAATATATCAATTAATATATTACAGATGATGTGATATCATTTTAGAGATTCTTGATCTTTGTAATTTATATAATGGGAGTGAGATCGTACTTTTGAAATAACAATCTCATAATATATGTTGATACACTAATTAGTACCTTAAATAGCATGTGTATCACCACTATAATTTAGGATGGTTTGAGATGATCTAAATAAATGCACTTTTTTATTTTCTTATCAAATATGAGTTGGGTTTGAAATGATGTAGTAGAGAGGTGATGTGACTTAAATAAGATGATGTGATTTAAATAGGAAATGGAGTAAGAGAGAATGTAAGTTCAAGAAAGGGAGAAAGAGCCGAGGGAGAGAGAGAGAGCCACTATTTTGTGTGCTAGTGCTAGAGTTAAGGAAGAAGTTAGGAACAAAGAAGAAAGTAAAGAGTAACAAAGAGGGGCTCAAGAATTCATCTTTGAAGAACAATATGTAATAATTTCTACCTTAATTCCTGTAAATAATTCCCCTAACATCTAAAATCAAAATGAAACTGGGTTCAATTGCATATAAATTAAGAGGAATTAGCAAAAAGATGAATAAAAATTGAGTTAAAGTTTAGGGCAAATTACAAACACCCCCCTCGAGGTTTGGTAAAAATACAGATTCCCCCCTGAGGTTTGAGAAATTACATCCCGCCCCCTGAGGTTTACATTTTCATAACAAATTGCCCCTTGAGGTTTTTATTTTCATACAGATTCCCCTCTAATTTTTCCTAATTTGTTATGAAAATTTGACCCTCATGGGGCAATTTGTAATTTCTCAAACCTCAGGGGAGAATCTGTATTTTTACCAAACCTCGAGGGGGGTGTTTGTAATTTGCCTTTAAGTTTTAGATTAAGGAAATAAATTTAGATATTAATTAGTTTGAGTTTGATTTTTGTTATTCTTCACACATTTGAAACTCATCCTTACATGCATGTTAGAATTTCAAGGTTTTCGATTTAATTCATGTCTAAAAGACTTGTAAGTTTAAATTTGGGCTAGATATGAAGAAAATTAATAAAAATCTAAATTAGAGTAATTCAAGAATTAAATTATGATTTTCTTGGAAAAAAAAAAATATAAAATCAGTAGTTTTGATCTTCATTTCATACATGCAAATATTTCTTTAAAAGAGTTTTATAATTTCAATTTCATGACTTAAGAGGAATTAGTGAAATGATGAAGAAATTGAATTGGACTCAAAATTATAGAAGTTAATTGGAATCAACCAAGTTTCAATTGCACATGCATCATTGAGTCATGTTTTGAAAGAAGAATTGAAATTAAGATTAAGTTTATGAAGGTTAAATTAGAAATTAATTATTTTGGGTTTGATTTTGAAAATCATGGTTAAAACATGCTTTATAATTTTGCTTGTAAATATTCTTCTAGGAGTTTTATGGCTTTAATTGCATGTTTTGGAAATCAAGTGCAAAAGAATTTGAAATCCTTGCATAAATGAATAAATAATTTAAGTTTTGACAAAATTGTTGACTTTTGGAAAATTGATTTCTAAATAGTCATGTATTGATGTTTTTCAATATCTTTATGTTGTCCAATAAGTCATGAATGAGCCTAAGTTTTGAAATGGGGTTGGAACCTCAATTTCCAACTTTGAAAATCCAGAATTTTTACAAATCGCTCGAGCAACCAATTGGTGGCTCAAGCGAACATCATGAGCTTCTAGAATAAATTCGCTCGAGCGAAAAGCTCTTTTTCAGCATATTTTGGAAAATTACATTTAGTTAATATTTTCAATCTCATCTCTTTCCAAAGTATTCTAAACATGATTTATGGCTCAATAAAGATTAAGAAGCTAGCTAACAATCAATATTAATTAGTTGATTAAAGAATAAGTCATTAACTTAGTAGTAATGGATTAAGAAGCCAAGTAAGAAATTAGTTTATTTAGAAAAGAATGATTTAGTAATGCAAGAATATGTGAAATAAGAACCCGATTCATTTGAATAAGAAAGAATAAGCATAGTAGAACTTCAGACTACTTAAACAGAAAAAGACAAGAAAAGTCAAGTTTGATCAAGGAAGTGATATTGTGTTTCTATGTATATATGTTATGTGTTTGTGTAAGCCATGCGCTATCGTTTGCCTAATCTATCTAATTTGTCAAATCTGTCTGATATGCTTCTGTTGTTATTTGTGAATAATAACTTAGTAAAGTTATGTTTAACTTTATTTATTTTCTGTATGATGAAATAAGCTATGTTTTCTGAAATGTTATGTTCTGTACAATGAATGATTGTCCAATATCTGACATGTATTCGTGGCATCCTTAACATCATGTGATATTTGTGGCAGTTACCTAGTATCAGAGGTTCCATTATGAAACTTATTATGTCTATTATCCGTTACCTGTACCGGAGGCTCTATTAAGGAGCTCAACATATCTATTATCTGTTACCCGGTATCGGAGGTTTCATCATGGAGCTTATTGTACCTGTTATTTGTTACCCGTATTGGAGGCTCCATTAAGGAGCTCATCATATCTATTATCTATTATTCGGATTCGGAGGTTCCTTTATGGAATTGGTTACTTATAACCACTATCTGTTTTGTATATGTTCTGTTAATGCTAGTGGATGTACTACATATGATTAAGCATAAACTCTGATTTATGTATATGATTTGAACAAGAATATGAATATGGATCTGCTTCTGTTTCTGAAATAAATATGAATATGTTTTCCGAATCTAATATGGGACATCATTCATTTAAACCCCTTTACTCTGTTATTATTCACTGGGCTCCAGCTTACTGTGTTATTTATGGATGTAGATGATCAGACGCGTGACCAGGCTTAGAGGCGTCTGCCTGGAATCTGTTTTTGTCAGCCAACCTATATGCTTCTCGTAGAGGTTTCGAATATGTCAAGTGGTTATGGTTATGTGCATAAAGTTTAAGTTTTGTTTTCTTGTTTTGGTTTAACCAGTGTTTTTGTTTATTTTGTATTTAAGGATAAGTCCCTTATTGTCTAGCCTATATATCTGATGATGCGTAAATGTATGTATATAAAGTTTAAAATTCTATGCCTCATATAAGTCTGCACAGCTCAATGAACATTGCTTCCGCTAGCCCCTAATATTATGTTACTCTGTCTCAGAGGCCTTCGGTAATCCCAAGATTACTGGCCGGTTACAATGCTAAACCTATAGGGGCGGGTTTGGGTTGTGACAATTATAGAAAGAACAAGGTGTCTGCTTTCATATACTAAATTGCCAAGATCCTTTTGGGGTGAGGCAATGAGAACAACGATTAACGTGATCAATTTATCTCATTCCTATCCTTTGAATGGTGATGTCCTAAAAAGAGTTTGGATCGGTAAAGATGTGTCTTATGAGCACTTGAGAGTGTTTGGTTGTTGAGCTTTTGTTCACATTCCAAAAGATAAGAGGTCTAAGCTTGATAGCAAGTCAAGAAAATGTATTTGTATTTTTCTTGGCTATGGGCATGATGAATTTGGTTATAGATTGTAGGATCCGGTCGACAAGAAATTCCTTCGAAGCCGTGATATTGTGTTTCTTGAAAACCAAACAATTGAAGACCTTAGCAAAGGTGATCAACTGGAACCAAAAACTAGTGATCTCATTGATATTGATCCATCTCCTTCGTCTTTGCTGGATAATGAAAATGGAGGAGATGTGTAACCACCTCTTGAAAATGTA